GTCAGCTGAAGTGGCCTGCAGTACTGCACCCTAACCACTGCGCCACCTCGGCTCATGAGGGGAAGCGCTGTTTCCTTCTGGATAGTTCCATATTGGGGGATTGTTTACTGCGTGAATGTTGGGACTGGTATTAATCCTGGTGTAACTCTATGCTTGAGACGCGGTGGCAGTGACTAAGATGCTGAGCTTGTTAATCAGAAAGGTCAGCAGTTCGGCGGTTCGAACGCCTAGCACCATGTAGTGGAGTGAGCTCCCCTTACCTGGTCCCAGCTTCTACCAACCTAGCAGTTTGAAAGCACGTAATGTTATGCGGCACTAAGGATTCGAACCGCCAAACTGCCAACCTTTCTGATATTCGAGCTCAGTGTCTTAGCCACTGAGCCGCCGCATCCCTAAGTCCTCCTTAAGGTACCCATTTATCTACTCGCAGTTGCTGACATTCGAACTGCTGGGTGAGCAGGAGCTGGAGCGTGTGACGGGAGCTCACCCTGTCCCGTGGCAGCAACGAGGTCTCAAACGCGAGCCTGCCAAGCGTCAGCCCAGCGTCCTAACCTCGTGAGCCGCTGCGTTTCTCAAGGCATTTATGCGGAACTCCTGCCACATAAAGTAATTGGAAAAATGAAGAGTGGGTGATATGCTCCCCCGCGCCAATCCCCAATCTTGTCCTCAAGAACAAAACCCAAAGTCCATGTCATTTAGCTCCAGTTCTCCCAGGGGATTGGTGCCCTGGTTTTGCGTGAAATGAAGCCTCCTGGCTAAAGAAAGGTTAATCACAAGGCCTGTTAGCTTTCTAAGCGATGTCTCAGCTGAGCACATTGAGTGGACAGAATGAGGCACGTCAAAAAAATATTGCTGCCTTTCCTTCCTCCGCCGCCTTCTCCTTCTGAGATATTCAAGGAAATGCCAAATCACAGAATTAAAAAGAACTTCTGGTTATTATTCCTGGCCGTTCTCTTTTTAGACTTTCAACGCGCCGTCAGCTCCCCCCGGCAATATTCTGGGAACATCGCCCCGCGTGATGTTATTTTTATTTACTTATTTATTTATTTTCCTTTCGGATCTCTGAATTTGGAGGCTCTTCTATCAGGCTTAAGTCCCTGCAACTCCATTTCCTTTTCCAATTTTCCCAGCTCCCGGTTTCGCCCCGAGGAATCCTGATGCATTAAACCGGGAGCCGCCCTATTAGAAAGGCTGATTGCCACTTAGCGGGGAATGGAGTTCTGCCAGTTACTGGAATTGGCTGAAGGGTTTTTAAGAATAAATTCAGCGGCGGCGTTTCTTCTTAAAAGAAAACAAAAACTCTTTTTTTTTCCCCCTCCCGCCCCCGTCAAACAGCCTGAGAGAAGCATATACTGAAAACCACCAGGAAAATCTGGTAATAAGCTAAGGTTTTACCAAGCCAAAATGCAAAGTCGGTGTCTCTTGGCTTGGTTTGTGGCGTGAAGCTAATTATTTCGGTATATAAAGTATGGTTTGAGGCTCAGTCTTAGGTATGAATCGGGACACTGTAATTAGCTCAACAAATCATGGCTGAAACCAATCCATGACTTAGCACAAAATATGCTAGTTTGGTCTAGGGCTGTGATAGTAAGCCAATGGCACGCATTGCCCTCTCTGCGGGCACGCAAGCCGTTGCCCCAGCTCAGTTCCGTTGAGAATGCGCATGGGCCGCCCATCAACCAGCAGATTTTAAAACTGCCACGCATGCATGGAAATGTGTGTGCATTTGCAGAGAGCACTGGGGGCAAGTGAGGGATGTGGGGGGCAAACCCCCCCATGGCCCCTTTTCGCTCCCAGGAGGCTGCAGGGAGGCCTACTAGGCTCAAAGCAGGGCGCAGTGGGTCGTGCATGAATGCACAGGGGGAAGAGGGAACACAGGGGGGTTGCACCAGGGATGGGTTCCTGCCAGTTCTAACCTCTTCTATAGAAGACGTTCCACAAATCTACAGTGCCGTTTGGAACCGGTTCCAGCTCCCTCCCCCCGCC